ACGGCGGCGGCGGCGACGAACACGGAGAGTGCGGCGAAATCGAAGGCGACCCGGACACATACGATACCAATTTGCACATTGCGGCGGCGTTCATCGTTTTTGCTGCGTCCATCATGGGCAGTATGCTCCCCGTCATGAGCTCGTATGTCCCCTGGCTGCGCAGCCGCGCCACGGGCATGGAGATGCTGAGCTCGTTCGGCTTTGGCGTCGTCATCTCGACAGCATTTGTGCACATGATTCCGCCGGCGATCGCAACGCTCAACAACCGTTGTCTGGGGCTCGACTACTCGGGCGTTGCCATGGTCATCGTGCTCGCGACCATCTACCTCATGCAGCTGCTTGAAACCGAGCTCGTCATCGCCCTCACCAAGTACACGTCGGACAAGACCAACGACGCCAACCACCACGTGCTCGAGTCTGGCATCGTCTCGACGCCGCCGCGGTCGCCCCACGTTGGCCACTCCCACGGCGTCATCGCGTCGGGGCCCTCTGACGAAGAGACGGCGATGCGCCAGAAAATCTCAGTGCTTATTTTCGAGGCCGGCGTCGCGGTCCACTCGATCATCATTGGCATTGAGCTCGGCGTGAGCTCGGGCGACGAGTTCACGACGATTCTGATTGCGATCTGCTTCCACCAGTTCTTTGAAGGCGTCGCTGTCGGTAGCTCGGCCGTCTCGGCCTTCTCGGAGATGAAGACACTCGCGCTCTCGGCACTTGCGTACTCACTCACGACGCCGGTCGGTGTCGTCATCGGCATTCTCATCTCGAGCACGTACAGCGACACGTCGACGACAGCGCTTTGGGTCAAGGGTACCTTCGATGCGATTGCCGGTGGCATTCTTGTCTACACGGGGCTCGTCGAGCTCGTAACGTACCATTACACGACCAACTCCGAGTTCCACAAGAAGACGTTCACGGGCCGTGGCCTCAACTACATGTGCCTCTACCTCGGGTCGGCCGCCATGGCCATCGTCGGCAAGTGGGCATAATCTTCTGATCCAGCTATCTAAATCCATTAAAAGTTCAAAATTGTCTTACGTCATCGTACGAGTACTATCGATTCGCTCTCCCAAATACCAGCTGTCTCTACTTTGAATCTCAAGATCTTTTGTGCTCATAACGTTACTAGTACATCCGATACGAGAGGCCTTTGGCTTGGCGTATCTCCACCTGTCCACGCCGCTTGCCGCCTCGTTGACTGCAGCTCAAGAGATGTCGAATAGAGAACTTACGCGTGCTATAGCGCACTAAAGCAGAAGGTTAGAGGTTAAGAGATTCGACTACTCTCATCTCAAATCGTGGCCGCAAATTCGTCGGTTCGAAGCCGATCACTGCTGGCGATGACGGTGGTGGCAGTGGTGGCGTACGGCACAAACGATGACGCGCCGAGTCGAGGCCAAGTATTCCCGAGGTGGACGTGGGCGCACCGTGTGCAGGCAATCTAATGTAGTTTGAGTTGTTGCTAGCTGTCATACTCTCACCGTCGCCGCATGGATGGTCTCGAGGATATTGGTGCGAGGTGCAAAGACCTTCGCGACATGGTCTTGGGTGATATTGCAGTCCTGAATTTGATGCGAGTCTTGAATGGATTGTCGACCGACCTTGCCAATGGAGCGTTCTGGTACCTACGACCTTAGTCTAGAGTTGTTCGCAAGATCGCCATTAGACTGAGACTGGACACACCCAACTCGACGTCAGACTGGACATGCTTTCATCGACGAAGTGCAGCGATTTTAGTGACGCGTGTTCTTGTAGTGTCAACGCTTGTACTGTACTACTTAAGCGTGGCCGCTTCAGTAGCGATCTACGACGTAGTACTAGTAAGTCAATCGCCGTGTTCCTACCTTGATGGCGCGTCCCGCGCACAACCGGCGCAATGGCATTGATGAGCTTGATTGATTGAACACGATTAGGGTCTAAATCTACGCAACTTCACGTTGTCCGTGACTTCAACATGTACCCGCACAGCATTTTCTTCCTGTTTTCTGGGTGCACACCTAGTCTCTTGAAGCTTCTCTTGAGCATTTGATAACGCACATGTCTTCTACGCTATCGTTTCAATCTTGTCATTACTGTAGTGTAGTTGAGGCAGGTCGTAACTCGAGCTGTCCGATTCTGAATCCAATATCTCGCCCCACGACGTTCCACACCCTGTGTCTGAAATTAGTCATTGGTCATCGCATGATTAACGCTCCATTAACGTTATGGGTCCGATCAAAGTGCAATCTAAAAGTGCAATCTGTGTTCATCCGTCATTTTTGACATGACAGTCGAATCTTTTGTCTACATCCTAGCACTGCACTGAGCACTGCATGTGATCGGTTGGCTTTTCAAGAAGAAACATCGTCCAGTTGGTGCAAATTACGATCAGCTCCTCTCAGTAGAGAGTGGCAGGACGACGGCATTACGCACGACTGTTCTTTTCGCGACCCTTTGGTTCGCCACAGCTTGCTGTCCGTTCTTGCTGTCCAGAGCATGGCTGCTGACGTGGTGCGCATCACCTGCGCGAGGCCCAGGTGCCTCAACGATCCATTCACAGCGCACCTGGCTTGCACCCGTCTCCACCCCACGTCTTTGTTGTCCGACTTAGCACTACGTACGGTACTGTAGGGTGCTCAGTACAGTTGGATGGCCTCGGGCGCAACCTCCAGTGCATTGGTGCAGCTCATACGTGCACTTGAAGCCGCGCCGACGTCCGCGAATCTCTGGTTTTCGACGTACGTACCCTGTGCCGAAGACGCCATATCCAAACCAATGCATGTGTGCCAAGCTCGGACAGAGAACCTTCGTTTGCCGCAGGTGGGGGCATCTGATCCCAAAAGCACGATGGGCTCTGTCGTGACGCCACGTCGGCTGCAGCTGCGATTGGCACAGTCGGCAGCGTATAAATAGCGAGAGCGAGCCAGGAGGCGCACTGGCCTTCAGTAGCGTTCGAGACGGCGTCCCTTGGATATTGCGTTGCCGCCAGCGTCGTCCCCCCGATCAACCTCACTTCGAACTTCGAGTTGAATCGGGCCACGGGTGTGACACCTGCATATTAATATTCTGAAAATAAAATAAAACCAATAAAAGGTGCGGATGCGAGTGAACAACCATCGACACGGGCGGAGATCGCCACCAAGTCGAATGGGCGCAGGTGCGTGTATATATACCTAGCTTCATGCGCAAGCGCCTTGCATAGCCCATATGATATATTTAGCCCGAGTTGGCTGCCGTGTTGGTACACCATTGAACGAGAAGCGCGATCCATCCTCCGTGCACAGCCCTTCTCTTAGTACCTCGCGCGTTCGAATTCTTGCTACATCAAGTAGCCAACGGTGATAGGCGTCGTCTCGATCGCTCCGTCTCCGCGCACGCGTTGGCGCAATGGCAATGGTGTAATTGCCCTACTGTTGCCGATTGGGCGGTCGTCCACTTGTCGCTCGGGACGCTGGTAATTAGAATAAGCAAACTGCTGCACAGAAGCCATCTCTATACTACGAATCGTACAACTATTCCCCGCTTGCACGATTCGCGACGACGCGCGCTGTGGCTCCACCAAACGCGTATCCAAGCGCGAACCAAATCGAATAAAAATACCAATAAAAATACGCACGCGTTTCATTGGCCATGGGTTTATAAAATCGAAGTTTTGCTGGTCAAGGTTGGGATTTCTCCTTCAGTTTGCAATCCGTGCCATGGCCGACGCCATCTTGAGCCCGCGCGGGAAGCGCCCCGTCGTGGCGCCTGCGAAGCGCCAGGAAGACGTTGCCAAGGAGCTCGTCGAGCAAGTACGACCTATCTCGCCTCACGATGGCGAGCCAAGCATGGCGCGTAGGAGATCGAGCTGCTCGGCTGCGGCCGCTTCCACGTCCGCATGGCATGGTACGTCCGCACTGCCTCATGCTCGCATGCCCACGCCGCGTGTAGCGTTCTCGGCCTTGGCAACGCGGCCGACGCCGTCGAGATCCTCTCGATGGGCTACATCCTCGGGTCCTACCCCGAGCCCATGACGGGCTGGGAGTCGAGCCTCGTGTCGTCGTCTGTCTTTGTCGTACGAACTCTCGCCCCGTCCGTATGACAGAGCTCTAAACATTGCGTAGGGTATGCTCATCGGTGGCATCGTCGGCACGGTCCTCGGCGACCAGTACGGCCGTCGCGTGCTCATGCTCGCGTCGCTGGCGCTCAACGGCTGTTCGGGCCTCTGCGCCGCGTTCAGCCCGACGTTGAGCTACATGGTCTTCTTCCGCCTCCTCGCTGGCGTCGGTTCGATCCTTTTGCATCATGTTCAATTTGTTCTTATCCTCAGCACGGTAGGGATTGGTGGTATTGCGCCGATGCTGTTTGCTGTCTGCCTTGAGCACGTGCCGCAGTCGGCGCGCGGCAAGTACATTACCATCATCTCGGCGTTCTGGATGGTGGTACGGCCTCCACCGGTTTGGAAACACGTCGGTCTGACGTGTAACAACTAGGGCTCGATCTTCACTGCGTGCTTGGCGTGGACGATGCTCGGATGCTACTGGGGCACGGACGACCGCATCCTGGACGTCTCGTGGCGCACGTTCAGCGCGACAGCGAGCATCCCGGCCTTCATCGCGTGCGGCCTCACGTACGCCTACGTACCCGAGAGCCCGCGGTACCTCGTCGCCAAGGGCTACCTCAAGGAGGCGTCCGAGACACTCGCCTACATCTACGCTGTGAACGGCTCGTCGCGCATGCCGGCCTTCCTGTACGTACCACCAATATACCTCGCAGGATCGAGATGTCGAGTGCTGTGTAGGGGCCCGGACGACGACCGGCTCAGTGTCGACGAGGTCTCGGCGTCGCACCAGCTGCAGACGCGTCGGGACTCGCTCACGTGGTACGACCGGTGGAGTCTGCTCTTGACGACGCCCGCGCCGTCGTCGAGCTTTGATTTGCGCTTTACGACCTTGCTGCTGCTCGTATCAACCTTTTGCCTCAGCTTTGGTAGACCATTTCTACATTATGTCCAGGGCTCAACTGAACGACTAGGCTCGTATGGTATCTCGACCTGGATCACGCGCGTGTTTCAGTCGACAAACGTGCACAACCCGTACGCCAACGACATTTTGTACGCGTCGGCCGCGCTGCCCGGCAACCTCATTGGGTATCTTGATACTAACTTGATACGTGGCCTCATTGGATGTATTGGTAGGCTGTTCCTCGTCGACTCGTGGGGCCGCCGGCCTCTCTTTGCAGCGTCGCTCTTCCTCTCGGCGACCTGCGGCTTTGTGTTTTCGCTCAACAGCTCGGCCCACGAAGGCTTCATCGTGGCCATCTGCTGCCTCTTCCAAGCCGGCACGACCATGGCCTGGATCGGCGTACGTTCCTCCGCCTTGCGTTGATGACTCACGGACTCTAGTACGATGTCATGTCGGCCGAAGTGTACCCGCTCAACATGCGCGTCTCGGCGCTTTGCTTTTTGAGCTCGACCGGTCGCCTCGGCGCGACCTTCGCGCAGCTCGTGAACGGCCTCCTCATGGGCCCGCCGGCGCACATTGAAGCGCTGCTGCTGGTGACGACGACAGTCATGGCGATCGGTGGCATCGCCGTGCTCTTCCTCCCCGAGACCGAGTACTTTGACGAGCCCAACGATTTGCCGCAGCGGCAGACCGAGACGCACCCGCTCTTGGCGTAGTAGTGACATTTGGTAGGAATACATGTATGATGAAGAGGAAAGGTGCTTGCATCAGTTGAGGACGACGGTGGTCTCGTCCGCGAGCTCGGGCATCGGAAAGAACTCCGAGTCGGTCTCGTCGTCGTCCACAATGTACCTAGAAGCATGGCGGACAGGCGCATGAGGGCTTCGCCAGCAGCATGCGCGAGAGACACAGATCGAGACCCTAGCTTCCATGGCAAGACCTCGAGCAGCTGTCCGTGCTGGAGCCGGTACGGGACCGCGCGCTCTAGCTCGGCGACGCGTTGCATGAGGTGCCAACGACAAGGCACATGGATCGCCGGCTTGTCCACGCACCGAGACGGATGCCATTGAGACGCGTGCCATTGTAGCTCAGGTCCGTCACGAGTCGCGTCATGTGGCCGGCGCGCTCCAGCGTGCAGTGGGCGCGGCTGATGTACGAGAGGTCAATGCTCGGATGGGGCGCGATGCTGGCGAGCGCGTTGAGGAACATCTCGCGGCCGAGGACGACGCTAGCGCGCAGCGTGGTGTCGACGGTGCAGCATGGCACGGAGGACGCACCGGTCGTAGTCGTCGAGGTTGATCTCATGGAGGCCCGCGTCTTGGAGCGCAGCGAGGATCGCCGGCGTCGTCGCGGTCGTCTCGTTCAAGCACAAGCGCATCGCGATCTTTGAAGAAATACCGAATTGGGTTCTTTTATACGCGGTGGGCGTAAAAGAAAAAGAAACGGTTAAAAGAAACAAATAAAAGAACAGCAAACAGTTAAAAGAAAAAAAGGACAGGTTTCATCAACTCTTCCCGGTGGCATCCGCGAGGCGTGAGCGTCAATGCGCATGCGCCCGGCGCCTACAGCGATCCTAGCAGCTTGTCTCGCCTTGACAGCTCATGGACCGATTCCTTCGACCAGCACGTAAAAGAAAAACGCCACCACGTCGAATAAAAAACGCACCAGCGCTTCCGCATGGACTAATGCCACCCAACTTGACATCGGGTTGAAGCCGCCGACCTTGCTCATGGGAGGAGGCACGGTGCATGTCCCGAACGAGCTTTGCGCCTGGCGCTTCTACCCTCATCACGTCATTAGCTACTCGCGGGCGCTTGCGAAATGCTGCAGAAAAGGGCAGTGGTCGTTGCTGGCCTTTTTATGGGCGAGCGCTGGCATGGGCACGCAGGCGCCTCACGAGTGGCGCCGACGGCAGCGTCAGCGTAGAATGGATTACTTTACATGCACCCACGCGCTGTCTGCGTGCGCCATGTCTGCTTGCAAGACGACGTGGTAGATATCCTGATGGGCGTTAGGTGGCGTGTATTTAGCCCGTTGCCTTCAACCGGCTGCGTATCCGGAGTTCCACGAGGCTTCAGCTTTGTCTTCGTTGGGACATGGCAGCGACGACGACGTACACCTGGCTCGGTGCGCTCAAGGCCGCGATCGATGGGAACCCGGCTGCGGTGACGAGGAAGCGCATGTGCGGCTACGAGTTCCGTCCCGGCGACATGGCCTGGAACTGCCGCCAGTGCCAGAAGGATGACACGTGTGTCATGTGCCACAAGTGCTTCACCGCGTCGCATGCGCATCTCACGCACGACGTCATGTTCTACTACGCCCAGAACGGCAACGGCTGCTGCGACTGCGGCGACGAGGAGGCGTGGAGCCCACACGGCTTTTGCCCCGACCACAATACGGCCGAGATTGGGAACGCGCCGCCGCCCGATATCCTCGCGTCCGTGCCAAGCCATCTTCTCGCACAGGCACGGGCCGACGTGGCGAGCGACATCAAGCTCTTCCACGCGTTCGCTAAGACGCGCCGTGCAGGCTTTCGGCGCAAGCTGCCCGAGGACGGACCAGACACGCTCTACGACTTGTATGTGCACGTGCCCGACTTGAACCACCAGGGCAGCGCAAGCCTCGCGTCGACGCTGCCCGAGTCGGTCACACTCATCCAGCGCAACCTCTCGGCGTCCGAGGTGCTGCTGTGGCAGAGCAAGCTCGCAAAGAAGCAGCCCGCGAACCTCTGTTCGATCTTTCACAGCCACGACGTGCACGCCAACCTCAACGTCGTCGCGCTCTGCAATCGCCTCTCCAAGTGCGCGCTTTCGTGCGACGTGGGCTGCCGCCTCGTGGCCGAGCAGGTATGTCATATACCTTGAATGTCTTTTCACGGTGGCTAGATGCTCTTGCCCGAGAGCTTCCTCGTCGATGTGATTGTCGCCGACTGCCTCTTTCCACGGCATGACAACGAAGCGCTGCACTCGCTCATCATGGCGCTGATTCCGGACCCGGACTTCAAGCAGCAGTTTGCGATTGCTTTTGCCACGTCGTACCCGCAGCTCTTTCAAGACTTTCTGCTCGGCCTCGGTACACGCCGCCCGGGGTTGCGAATGACATGCATCGATGCGTAGGCCTCGCCGGCCATGGCATCCTCGGCTTTGGCGTGCAGTTTCTCAACCGCGCGAGCTTTGTGCATCTGCTCATGCACTCGTTTGGCTTTTTCAACACGCTCCTGCGCACGCTACACGAGACGCTCGCGTCGTTTGCAGCGCCCGCCATCGACTCCGCCATCCCGTGCGATGTCTTGCCGCTGCTGCAGCCGCCCGGTCGGCTCTGGGACTCGATCGCGACGTACCTCTCGCTCTCGTCGGCGCCGACCTTGCGTACGTTCTCGCTTCCATCGTCGTTGTCGTTGTATTCGAGTCGTGTGTAGCTGACGTGGCCGTCTTGCAGTCGCTCGTGCCGTACCATCGGCACGCGCCCACCGAAGCCTTTGTCGACTGGTTTCGCCACGCGGCGTTGCCGCTGCCAGGTACCAAGACGCGCTTAAAAAGCGTGCATACTCATGGCGTATGGCTAGGCCGGTTGGGACTGCAGTTGGACGCGACCGGCTTCACCTCGCACCGCTACACGCAGGTACTGCTCGACCTCAAGTACACGCTGCAGATTGCGCATCCGACGCTGCTGTCGTCGTTTCCAAACGAACTCCGGCTCCTCTTCCACACGCTGAGTCTCTCGCAGGGCCTCGGCGCCGACGCCCGTCTCCAAGGGAACGAGCCGCACGTCGCGTACGAAGGGCGGCATTGGATCGTCGCGATCGAGCTCTCGTCGATGCTCAACGAGCTCGTCGCCGCCGTGTACGCCAACGTCGTGCAGCACCACGTGCAGCCGTCGGAGGCCGTCCCGCGCCTCGTCTCGGCGTGGCACGATGCGTTTTGTCTCTGGCTCGCGACGACCAACCAATATTTTGCTCCAGCGACACGCGACGATGGCAGCTATACGCTGCCGCGCTACGGCGCCGCGTGCGTGCGCGTCTCGGCCCACTACCCACTGCACCGGTCGCTCTGCCTCTTGTACCGGTCGCTGCTTGGCAACCAGCGGCTGTGCCACGCGTTTCGAGACGCTCTGCAGACGTCCCTGGACGCGAATCATTGGCACGTGCACATGCTCGTGCTGCCGCTGCTCGAAGGTCTCGTCTGGGACGCCCAAGTGCACGCAGGGCTCTGGAAGCGCAACGGCTGGAGCGTCATGAACCACAGTATGAACTATGGCGAGCCGTACTACTGCATGAAGTTTCGCAACGTCGATCTGCTCGGGCTCCAACTCCTCGCCGACGTGGTGGGCATCGAGACCTTTGTACCGCTCTTGCTCGACCGGTACGACGCGGCGCACCTCGACTGCGCGAGCTCGAGCGTCCGCGAAGCCATGCTGGCCGAGTGCCTTGTGCTCTTTTGCCAGCTCGCCACCGAAGTGCCCGTGCTCGACAGCAGTCGCCACCCGTTGTTCCCGGCGCTGCGGCACCTCGTGCTCTTGCGACTCTGCGTCAAGCCGTCGAGCCACAGCGAACTCTTCAAGAGCGTCAACGAGCTTTGTGCCACGTACGACGTGCTCTGTGCATCCAACCCCGTCTCGATCGACGCGCTGCTTAAAGACATTGCGGCGGAGATTTGTCTCCCGGACCAAAAGGTAGCGATGGATCCACTTGATACTTTTACATATATATATATTGGGAAACTAGGTGTACACGCTCAAGCCGGAAATGTACGAAGAGTACAACGCAACGTCGGTGCACTTGACGCGCAAGCAGCACGAAGTCGCGCGCGTCAACCGCGCGCAGGCCCGCGCGACGCGGTTCCGGACCCGTGCTGCGACGCCGCTGGCTGCAGCACCGGCCCCGCTGCACGTCGCGCACCGCAGCTGTCTCTTGACCAACATGTGCTTCTTCCTCGTCCTGCACCCGTCGCTGTGCAGTATCGTTGCAGATGTCCTGCGGCAGCTCGAGACCATCGGCAGCTCGAGTCTCGTGCTCGCCACCGTCCATTTGCTCACGCTGCAGATGTACGCGCTGCAACAGTCGCCCCGCGATGTGCAAGACACGTACTTGCGCGTCATCGATAAACTCGCCTTGCTACACACGCTGCGCAACCTGACGTCGACCAACGACGAGCTCAACCGGCATGTCCGCTGGATCGTGCAGGCGCTGGAAGCGTTTCCGGGTCTGCGCCCGGCGCCCTTGACGCCAGCGCCGGCCACGCCGCCTGAGAGTACGATGCCCGACCGCCACGCGCGGCAGACGTCGGCGCAGCAGCGAGCCCTCGAGAAGATCCAGCAGCAGCAAGCGGCGTTCTCCAAGCTCTTGATGGACGACGACGCTATGGGCATGGACGACGATCCTGACGACGACGACGAGTGCGCCATGTGCCACGAGACGTCGACGCCGCTGAGCAGCATTGGATTCGTGCAAGTGTCGGGCGTCAACGTGGTCGTGCCACCGCGCTTCAAGACGCCGTGGGAAGACATGAAGCGCGATGTGACGCCGCTCACGATCAGCTGCTGCGGCCACGTCGTGCATCTGAGCTGCTGGCAGGCCTACTACGCGACGCAGTTTCAAAAGGTGATTACGGGCGAAGCGTACTTGAACGCTGTTGACGTCAAGAAGGGCGAGTTCCTCTGCCCCGTGTGCAAGTCGATTGCGAATGTCCTCGTGCCGCTGCAGCCACCGACGGCATCACCGAGCATCGCGCTGCCGCCGACGACCGACTGGGCCGCGTGGCTCACGACAACAACAACAACGCTCGGACATACTACTGCAACGGCGCCCGAGTCGGACGTGCTCGGGCTCATGTGCATGAGCATCCACCGCGTCGCCACAGGATCTGTCGAAAAGTCACGGCCAGATCGGTACCTCGCGTCGGCCTGCCACGCGATCGCGTCAACGCTGTGGCACACACGGCCCGCACCGGTCGTGTTACTGCAGGCGGCGCAGTCGCTGCGGGCCGTGGCGCCGGCTGCGGACGCCTACGACTCGGCACGCGCGCTCTTGATGGCTGGGAGTGAGCTCGACGGCGTCGAGACGACCGAGACGCAGACACCGACGCAGATTCAAAAAACGTGGAAGGGCGTCGTGGGCGCCAAGCCGCTGCTACTGCAAGACTTGTCGGCGGTGCTGGCGCGCGGCGTTCTCTTGGCGCCGACGCCGATCGACCAAGTGCGGATGGTGCAACTCGTCTCCGTGGCCTACGCCGTGCAGACGTTTCTGTGGCTTGTGGACGAGACGACGGCTGCCGTCGCTAGCGATGGCGACGCTCGTGTGGACGACGCTGCCTTCGTCTCGCATTGGTTTGCAAGTGCGCGAGATGTAGCGCAAGTGGCGTCCGTCGTCACGCAGCTGTGTGCGCTGCCGTCCGACGCCACGTTCTCGGCGGTCGCGCTGGCGTGGGCGGCCGAAGACATCACTCGGTTTCACCGCGTCGCTACCGACTTGGTGCCGGGCCTCGCCGCCATTCCGGTGCTGCCGCTGGACGCGCTCCCGCCTCCCGTCGCGTCGCTCGTGCCCAAGTGGATTGCCGCCGTGCACGCCACGTACGTTTGGTTTGTTTGACAAGTTGCAACCTTGCTACTAGGTACACGACCATGGACGACCCGAACAACGTGCTCTCGCAATGGCAGCACAAGCACGCGTCGTATGTCGCCGACTGGGCCAGCGTGTGGCAGCAGGACCTCGCGGCCGCCCACGTGCCGCTCTCGAGCGCCTACTGGCGCCACATGCGGTCGTCGTTTCTCACGTCCTTGCCGCACTCGTACAGCGAACTGTACATGCACTTGACGAAGCAAACGTGCCCGAGCTGCCACCTCTTTCCGGCGCGCCCGGCGCTCTGCCTCATGTGCGGGCTCGTCCTCTGCGCCGCGTCGACGTGCCGCGAGGCGACGGTCGCGTCCATGGCGTCTGTCTCGGGCGCGTGTACGCTGCACGCGCACAAGTGCGGGCGCGGCCTCGGGCTCTTCCTCCTGACCGTCGAAGGCACGGTGCTCCTGGTGAGCGGCAAGCTCGCCGCCTACGACTCGAATGGGTAGTTCCTCGAACTGAAGGTGGTGGCATTGATAGATGATTGATACGTAGGCTCTACGTCGATGAGTACGGCGAGGGGTTTGGGGAGAGAACGTCGCGGTTCCAGTTTCGTGGACGACCGTTGTTTTTGGACGTGAGCATGCGCGACCGGCTGCTGCGACTGTGGGAGACGCAGTCGATCCACATGGAGATTGTCCACAACCAAAACACCGTCGAGCGCATCGTTATCAACAGCTTTTATTAACACTATTTTAACAAGTACATGCATTTTAGTGTACGAAATGCTTGAAAAGGTCGCGGAGCTCAAATTCGGGCGAGGTAATACATGCTCACGTGTACAGCCTTCCGTGTCCTCGCCATAGGCATAGATCTCGACCACTTGCTCGATGGCATTCTATTCTCCTAGTACTTATTGATACCAAAGGAATGCAATTGTCTTCCCTGGGAGCAGCGATCAATATGGGCGCCAACCTCGCGTCTCTAATGTGCCGTCGGTATGGAAGGATCGCTGTCACAGCTGCCCTTTTTTACTGCCAGGAAACGATTCGAGGGTGCACAATATGACAACTCCATTTGGTGTACAAAGTTAACCTCTTGTGTGTGGTAGCCTTCCGACGTTGAGCCGGCATTTGCACTGGCGACGCCCCACGGCAACCAAGACATTGCGTCGCAGCAGTGGACATACACGCTCTAAATGGAATGCTCACGACATGGAAATCGACTCCCTCTCCAACGAACTTGATGGACAACCTCTTTCTCGGTTTCTGCCTATTGGCTCGCAAACCAACCATACAGCGATTCATGAGGCCAACAATTACCGCTGGTGTGCCTGCGACGTGTGCTATTCAACACGTCAACAGAGATTCTCCCCCGCTCTACGTAGGTGGCAAGTGAGGCTGTGGTGTTCCTGGGATTATATGTTGCGATTCAGACACACCAAACCACACGGATCAGGTGCATGGAACTTAACCCTCCGACGCCTTGCTAGGAAATATTGCTCGTCATTAGCATATATGTACGTCGGTTCAATTTCCCACGACCAAGGAATCCTCTCCACGACTCCAAGCCATAACTTTTTTCAAAAGACAAACAGAGAGTGGCGTCATGCTCGCAATCTCAAAGCGCAACATGAGGAGTTGGCTTGCGGTTACGAATTAGAGTTCAAAATGGAGACGCCCGTGTCGAGGCGCCACGTGCTCTCGATGACCTTGCCTCGCAACGGACTTCCCACGGCCAAGCACCCTGCGTCAAAAGCCCGGCGTCCTGCCAAGGGCCAAGCAGCGCCATCCGCACTGGGGTCGGCGCTCTGGGGCTTCCCCGTCTACTTTAGCCCCGAAATGGACCGCGTACGACAGCGTTTAGGTCGATGCCAATGTCATGCGATGCAAGTAGGAGCACGACGAGCGGGCCCAGCGCGTGGCGGCCCTTCGCGCCAAGCTCCAAGCCGAGCGCGCGCGCCAAGTTGCGGTGCACGAAGCCGAGGCCGACGAGCGCATGGCCAGGTCCCGCCGCGACCACACAAAGTACCTCTATTACGCGTCCCGGTACGGCGCGCTCCCCGCGCTCCTCTTTTGCTGCACGCAGTTTCCAGGTGCGTTCCATTCATATGAAGCTGTCGTCACATACTTGACCAGGACGTGTGTACGAGCTCTACGTGCACAAAACAGCCAACGCACTCCAGACGTGGGCGCGTGCTCGCATGTGCATTCTCAAGGCCCACGCGCGGTTGAGACTACGAGGCAGTACGTGAACGCTCATTGGCATGGTAGGAGCCACGTCGCTTCGGTGTTTGTCGCTTCGGTCGTGGCCATCGTGCTTGAAAAGCGATCTGCGGCGGCGACCCAAGCCGACCGCGCGACGCAGCTGCTTCGGCGCATCGTCCTCCGCGCCCAAGTGCAGACCTTTGGTGCGTGGAAAGGCTGGCTGCTACAAACACGCGCCATCAAGCGCAAGTTTCAAGCGTGTGCACTTGATTTCTTGATGGAAATGTGGCCAACAAAATGGCTAGGGCGATGTATGCGACCTTGGCCTCTCGCTTCACCACGTGGCGAGACCACGCCCACACGCGCGCCATGATTCGGCACGGCAAGGTATGTACACCGTGCCACTGTCGTCCATCTCTGATGTGTGCCGCAGCTCTGTCAAGCGTCGGTCAAGGTCTTTCGCAGGAGTCTCATCAACCGGTTTGGCCACTGGCGTGTCGTGACGCAGCGCACCAAAGACATTCGGTGCCGCTTCGCCAACGTCTGCGTCCGGCGGCAGCGCGAGTTGTTTGGTGTTTGGGCCGCGTATGTGGCGTTTGCCCATCGCACGACCGCCTATGCGCGTCAACTCCAAGCGTGGCTCCGCCGCTGTCTCGTGCGAGCTCGGTTTCGAAAGCGCCAGCACGCCGGTGCGACGATCCAACCATGAGCGAGTGTCCAATGATATGTAGCGACGACCGTGACGCGGTACGTTCGAGGCCACCTCGCGCGGCGCCACGTCATCGCCCTTCGAGAGACGATGCGCGCGCTGGAGAGCAAGCTGCGCTTTGAGCGCCGCAAAGCCCTGGTTGGTGATCGCATGACGACATGAATACGCAATCACTTGCGTAGGCGACGCAGCACGAGACATTCAATGCGCATCTTCGCAACGCGATCGCGACGGAGCGCGAGCGCCGCCGCCTGGAGGAGGTGGGGCTAGGTATAGGGTTAGGGATACCACGCGGCGTAGGCGGTGCTGCAGCAAGAGCAAGACCGGGTCGCGGCCGAGGTCAAGAAGGCTCTGGCCAAGATTCTTGGCAACGAATACCGCGCGCAATTGCGGGAAAAGATGACGCTTCTCAAGCAGCGTGACGGCCTCGATGCCAAGCGTGCGGCGGCCAAAGCCGCTACTGAGGTATGTATTGTCTCCAGAGACCTGGACGCACTTTTATATTTCCGTAGGTCGTTGCCGACGCCGTTGCACTTGCGCGGGAACAAGCGCGCGCTGCATTTCGCGCCACGAGACCGCCGCCGGCCGTGTGCGGCGAGTGCCAGTTGGGGCTGCCAACGAGACAGTGTAGGGACAGATACAGTACACTGGAAACTATCGCCACGGCGTGCCCTAGGTCCGCACGTTTGTGGCGACGCGGATGCCGACGCTCGGTACGAAGCTTATGCTCGCGAGCAAGTGCTCCTCCAAGCGGTGGCGCTGGCGCAGCTTGAGCGCGAGACCATCTCGTTTGCGACGCTGTACCAGTACAAGCGCACAGCCACCAACAGTTTTTTCGGTGGGACTTATGCAAGACCAACACGTGTCATTCCGCTCTGTTGCGAAATTGGAGCTTGACAATCAACGAACCATATATTGTCGTTCAATATTGTGACATGTTGAGCTCATCATGTCAGAAAAACTCCAAAAACAAAAAATATTTTGTCATGAAATCAGTGCACTGGGAGTGCCAAAATTCCAACCCGCTTGCCGCAGTGAGGCATTCTTGCAACGACTCAGATCGTGTCGGGCTCGAGGCTAAAGCCCCGAAGAACGCTGCGAGGGCCACAGACGGACTTGGTTTCGTCGTAGAGCTCGACGTGCGTCGCTAGCTGGGCGAGCATGCAAGGAGGGCAACAGAGCGCACAGAGAACGTCCTCGAGTTCGCTGCCCTCAAGGTGCCATCGTGAACGAACGTTGCGGCGCAGACTACCGAGTAGCAGTACGAGTGCGCTCCCAGCCACGAGGCCCGCGCCGCGAACGAGTGCGAAGCCAACACCGTCATGGGGATCGGGCGAGTCAGTCACCTCACGTAGCTTGTGGCTTGCACAAGCATCATGGTGATGGTCGCGCCAAGAACGAGTGCATAGCCACCGTAGAGCGCCATGCGCGATGCAACCTGGGCCATGACAATGCAAGGGCAGCAACACGCCATGAGCCCTGGTGCATGGTTCATGGTCGTCAGAATTGTTAAGAGTGAGGATGCGGAAACGTACCAGTCGGGAACGGAGCACATAAGCTCTCAATAGCGCCGATGCGCCACGGCTGCGGTGCGCCAATAGGGACCGAAGACTTCGCGAGCTCCGACGTCGGTCGATCCATCGCTTGCCAACGCTGCAGGAAGATCGTAAGTGTTGATATCTAGGACCTGTCCTAGCTGAAGTTGCCTACTTGGGCCAGAAGCGCAGGCAGGTCTGCATGCACTTCACCGAGATCGCTCTATCAGAACCTACTGGAACTAGCTGCGTCTAATAAGCGTCTAGCGCCATTTTTGTTGTGTAGGATGACACCAGGTAGTGTGCAATGACCGATCCCAACACGTTGTGTGTGTGCCATGAATTGAATATCCTAATTAGGTCGCGGCTCTCATTCCGGAAGATATGCGATCAAAAGATCAGTCGGTGGGCCGCGGCCGCGGACCTCGGAGGTCATTTGGACGATCGTGCAGCAGGGACAGAGAGCCGACGTGAGCGCGTCACCGAGTTCGGACCCGCGAATCTTGAGCGCTCGCCGCACGGACGTTCGAAGCACCGCAATGAAGAGGAGATACCCCAGTAGCGCGACGAGGCCCAGTCCGCGCACGACGACCGACGACGACGCGAGCACTTGCAGGACGAGAATCAGCTCCACCAGCAGTCCGGCACTTGCCAGCGTCGTGTAAAAGCCGCCGCATGCATCGATGTTGCCCGCAATGTCGGCGAGCGCAAGGCACGGGCAGCAGCACGCGGTAAACCCTACTGATGTGTAGCCATGGCCAGGATGGCATTCACTGTCTGTACCGTCCAAGTAGTGCCACTCGCAGAGCGGCAAGAGCGGGCTGCGCCATGTCGTTGGTACGTACGGTGGCTTGGGCAGGAGCGGGTCAGTGTCCATTATCGTTTGCCAAGTCGGCCGTTTCGAAGATTTCACAATATATGTACCCTTGATTTCACCAACTTCAACTCGAGAGCTGGCGTCAGTCAAAGATATATATTTCTTGCTGTGCATGTTCGAGGTACCATACTTCGAGTCGTTTTAACTAGGACAGTGCAGCGGTGGCGACGAGGAGAGTGAGCGCGCTAAGAGCCGGGAGGCTCGACGCCGACCCGAGCTTGGCCGTCGGCGGCGTCGTCGTCAAGTGAGAGACTTCGGTGCTGCCATTGCCGCAGCGAGCTTTCACGGAGGCGGCGAACGCACCGAAATCGACGGACCCAAAGACGCACGACGGAACGTAGGTCGTGAGGAGCGGAATGAGCCCTTGGCACGCCGGCGCGGCGCAGATCGCGTCGACGTCGGCGGACGTCGGTTCCGCACTCGGTGGCAAAAACGTATAGTTTGTTGCGTATTGACACTGCGACGCCGTCATGATATCAAAGGCCGCGCTGAGTGTTGTGAGGTTGCAGGGCGTAGCAGTAGCACTGCTGCCGAGGCACGCGACGACGACGACCAGCACCGCCCGACTCGGCATGCTTTCTCAGTTTGCAGTTTGGCGTTCTCGCTGTTCTTGGCTATTCTTGGACGTCGAGTAGCGATGATGTGTCACGGTTGCCATTGCGGCTCTGCTGGGTAGAGCAAGGGGCATCGCATCCTTGGTGAGAACTCGAGGTGGTTCGGTGTGCATGGATTGCAGCCAGAGTGTAGCGGGCCAAAACGATTACCAGAGTCAGCTATTTCTTCTCATGGTGTATTCGTTTCCTTATCCCGCTAGCTCATGGCGAGCACGGTGGCGAGGACAGCGAGGCCAACACCAAGATAATGATCCAAGCGCTTGGACGTAGGCAGTGCAGACGACGTGGGTTTCGGCGTCGCAACGGGCGGTGCCGTCGTCGGTGCCGCCGTCTTGTTGCCGCAGCTCGCATTGACCGCGGCGGCAAACGCGCCAATGTTGATGGCGCCCACCGAGCAGTTGGGGATGGACGAGAGCGCTGGTAGCAGTGGCACGCACGCGGGCGACGCGCAAATGGCTTCAATGTTGGCGGCGGTGGGCTCCTTTGATGGTGGCAGAAACGTGTAGCCGCTCTCGCTCTGACACGCCGTCGCGGCGCCGAGGACACTGCCGAACGACGTCACGAGCTTGGTGACGTCGCATGGCGTATCGCCGCGTACGGCCGCGGCCATCAATGAGGCCACCACAAATTGGCTCGGCAAGGTCTTCATGCTACAATTTGCAAATTACTGCCGGCGCGGGAGCTCCGAGCTTCGGAGAGCTCAAAACCGAAGTCGTTGCCAATCACTCCGTCCAACGGTGGAGGAGGTCCGCAACGGTCGGAGAACACACTGAAGCGATCACATAACTTCATCGTTGGTGTTGCATTCAGGGTCCTTTATACTGGGATCCATGCATGCGTCGCCGCTGGGTCTCTGTGCGATGCAGTAACAAGTTTACGCCGAGATGCCAATGACACCAAAGGCCTTGATCGGGCCGGCGTTGCCGTTCTGGAGGCTGAGTTCGTGGCCGCCCTTGCCAAGGTCGTCTTCGTTTTCGTGGATCACGAGCGAGCGGCCAATGACCGAGTGCGGGCCAATGAGCTTGAGGAGCGCGTCTTCAACGTGCACCTTGGCGTTGCCTTCGTCGTCGACCTACATGCATTGTTTACACCTCGCACCATGTACATGGCCATGTACCTGGATGTTGCCGAGCGAGCCAACGCGGCGCTCTTCGTCCTCCGGGGCGCCATGGGCCTTGCCGAAGGGGTTGAAGACGCCGCCCGTGGACGCGCCGCCGTTGGAGACGTCGCCAAAGACGTTGATGTGGAGCGCGTGCTTGCCGGCCGAGAGGCCCTTGAGGTTGCCGACGATGAGCGTCTTGGCATCTTCGTTCGACTGGCTCAGGACGAGCGAGCCATACACGCTGGCGTCATCGCCGTACAAGGTCACCACCGCCTTCGCCATCTTGGTCGGTCAATAAGAAATGACAGTATTAGTCCACAACCGGATTTCATTCAAATAGTGTGCTGATATTTAGTGTGGCGACATAGCACCAACACCCGCGTTGTGTCCTTCTCTGCTCTGCTGTGTTCAAACGCTTCGACACGATGCCCTGTTTGCAACACGAGACGAGAGGCGGCGTGGACTCCAGGACGCTCGTTGTCACAGTTGCTCGACGATCTCGTTTCAAACACTATATCCACCCTACGTGCTCGATTGAAACACTATATCATGGTACATCTACGGCCCCCAAACCAATCAAGTTTGTTGGTGCAAAAAAATCGATGCTATTTAATGCTCGAAAATATCCGTATGACTTGCATATGTATGCTTCAACAGCTCCATCAATATAAATATTTCACATATTTTATTGCATCATGGAGCTCAGCACTCGGAATGCATAGCGATCTTCGAGCGTCGCGTAAGATCTAAATGGGCACAACGCTGGTTGCCTCGTCGGACGCCAGCGCCCGCCCATGCTTGCCGACGAACCCTAGGCTCGCCAAGGTTGCACGCTGGTCGTTGGTCAAGCCGTCGAGGCCACGCCGGAGCTTGTCAACGACGCCGCCCAGCTTCATGCCCCACAGCTGCGGCGGCCAGTTGAGGTCTTTGTCTGGCACGACAAACGATTTTGGGACGCGGACATGGCCTGCGAGTGCTTTGTAGGTCTGCAAGGCCAGTACCTTGTCCGACCACTCGATGTACGGACTACGCGTCGCGTCGTACACGAAGCCGAGGGCGTCGAGCTGCGCGCGCTGCGCCGGCGTGAGTCGGCCCTGGCGTTGGCGCCACTTGTGCACCACGTTTCCGAGGTGGAGACCATGCACGCTCGAGGGCCATAGACTTGCATCTGGTTCGTTCTGTGTGGGGACGACAAATCGGTATGGTACCTCGGTATGCTCAAAGAGGCGATGGAAGGTTCGCAGCGCGACCAAGTGCGTCTCCATGTGGTGTTGCCGCACGCTCCAGACAAAGTGAACGCGGTTCAGCGCTGCGACGACACTCGGATCGAGCATGCCTCGCTTGTAGGCTTGGCGCATGACGTCGACGTCAATCGTGCGCCCGTGGGCCTCCGGCGGCCATGGCGCGGTCGCTGGCACACAAAACTTGCTCGGCATCGCATGGCCATAGTGCAAGGACGCGAGCTGCACGAGGAGGCGCTGGCTCTGGAGCGAGATGCTCGAGTGCGTGGCCGACGCGCGCTTTCGCTGCAGCGGCACCAATGGGCTCTCGTACGACGGCAGCGGCAGGTACGTCTCCACGATCGGCGGAGGTGGTGGAAGGACCGAGTTCGAGGCTATGAGTACGGGCGGCGAGGCTGCTGGCGGTGGTGATGGTGCACGCTTGCGCTTCAAGCTCCAAACGAAACCGAGCGCGACGAGATCGAGGCGCTTGGCGTGGTCGAGCGTGTGGCCTGCTTTCCGCAGCTTTTGAACGATACCGCCGAGCTTGAGGCACCACAGCGACCGCGGCCAGCTGCTGTCATTGTCCGGAACGACGAACGCTGTGGGTACGCGCAGGTGGCCGCACAGGCGCTTGTAGGTCGAGAGCGCAACCATTTTATCGGACCATGTGAGTGTCGTCTTGAGCCCCGAGAAAGCAAACCCGAGCGCTTCGAGCGCGTCGCGTCGGTCGGCCGGCAGCGACGCGTGCGACTGCCGGAGCTTGTGCACGACGTTGCCGAGCGGCAGGGCCCACGTCTCGCGAGGCCATCGCTCGTCGTCCTTGGGCACGCTGTAGCGGTACGGCACGACCACGTGGCCATGCAGCTCCTTGTAGACTGCGAGCGCACGCACGCGAAGGGCCCACGCTGCGGCTTTTGGCATCGTAGGCAAAATAGAATTTCCGGCGACTGAAGTCAGAATGTAGTAGGTTGGAATGCATTTTTCGGGAATTTGGACTTGGTCGCCACAGTCCATTGCGCGTACGCGAATGGAGCGTGGACGCTTGTGCACAGGCTCAGTGCGCACACAGTCACCTCGACCACAGCACATCGTGGCGCTGCGTGAATCCGAGATGTCCCTTGAATATTGTGATTTTGTGGGCGATTTTCGGGAAATTGCTCAAACCGACGAATGTCAGAATCCGATACTCTCAGCCCAGCACGAGTCAGTCACCGCCACTGCACTTGCGCACGCAGATCGACGCCAAGGGCCGCGCATCGTTCGTGCACCGCCCACACAATAAACGTGGCGGTGACGCCTTGGTGTGCCAATGAAGAAAGAGGAAGCACTCATGCGGTGGAAATCTGCCAGCCCGGGTGTGCTAGCCCAACCGAGCATCCACCCACCTGGACGCCATCAGCGTGCAGTCCGATTAAAACTCAAAAACTGACATGCAGTCCGCGACGCGAGCTACGCGCCGCGCTTGGTCGGTGCGTTGCGCCGCGTCGTGCGCGTGTTCTCACGGCTGCTTCCGTGGAGACAGCCGACGTGTTTCTCGCACTCGCCGCGGCTGTTGGCGTAGTTGGTGCATACGACGCCATCGTCGGCAACGTACTGGCAGCGGAGACGCTTCTCCGGGTCCGTGTGCGTCTTGCAGCGGCCTTGCGGAGCCACGCCGTGCTTTTCGCAGCCGTTGATGCCACAGCGCTTCCGGCCCTTGGGCGGCTGCGACGCGACCGACAAGAACGAGTGCTCCGAGACGGGTGACGCGGCCGGCGTTGGGGTCAGCTGGATCGGTGTCGTCGGTGGCGGCGGCGCCTCGAGGCGGCGATACATCGTGGGGGCCACGTCTTCCACGACATACCTAAAATCTCGCTACGACCCTTTCGACGACGCGATACTGTGTACGTACGCGAGGAGGTCGCTGCCGCGCAGTGACTTGAGGAGCACGACCTTGTCGCCGACGTCGAGCAGCCGGGGCGCGTATGGCTCTAACCCGCATAGTATCGTCGAGAGACGAAGAGGCGTGGAGGCCATGTACCCAGTCGCTCGGTGTTGACGCGCGTCCCGAAGCGGCTCGTGTCCATGACGCGAAGGTTGCCATGGTGGTCGCTCAGAAACTGGCAGTGGTCGTCTTCCAAGTCGAGCAGCGCCTGGCGCTCCTTCGGGTCGGTGAAGATGTGCGCGACGAGCGACCGGCCAAACGAATAGGCACGATGGTCGGGCCTACGAGGGCCATGCAAACGATGCGCAGCGCATTACAGCCGTACCCGAGTCGCAAGACGTCGAGGCGACGCTGCTTCATGGCCGCGGCAGACGCTGGTGTCAGTGCGTCGCTGACGAGGCGCAGCTGATACAGCGATCCGGAGCGGGTCTTGGTGAACGAGGACGGCGGTGCGCGTCGCTGCCGCTTGGCCGCCCGGGACGAGGTGTCCGACAACACCTCTCGCACGTGACGCACTTCAACGTCCGAGTCTGCGTCACTGAAATCCAGCGCCGTCGCAGCATAGAGAGCGCTCTGCGGAGCCGCGTCGCAGACGTCCGCCATCTCGACGTGGTACCTAGGCGGTTGCGTCAGAGTGGCGAGATACCGCCAAGCGCAGCGTACACGACGATGTCACCACCGTGGGGCGAGGCGAGAATCACGATGCGGTCGCCGTTGTGCAGCGCATGCGCCGTTCGCGACGCTAGGCGCGTTCGATGACGCTCGAGACATGTTGCAGTGCGTACCGAGGGCGACATTGTTGACGCTGACGCCATGCACCAAGCAGGTGCGGATCTGCAGCGTATTGCCGCGGTAGTAAATAGAGGTGATCTTGTTGTCTTCCATCTTGTGGAGCGCGTCCTGCTCCATCGAGTCGGTGAGGAGCGGGTCCATTGCCGACCGCTCAATGCGCCACGTATCGCCGCCGGGGCTACATGCAGCTATCACCGTCTCGCCCTCCGCATCGAGCAGCTTACCGGAGACGGATGACGTCGAGGCCCTTGGCGGCGAAGGCGGCCGCGGAGGCGTCCGCGAGCTCAGTTGCTGCCAGCCGCAGCGTTGCCATCGGATTCGAAATTCTGCGATCTTTGCTTTCTCAACCGTCCGGTTAACCGGTTCGTTTGACTAGATGCACCCAACTTGAGCCGGCCCTGCGATCGGTGCAACCGGTTCCAGCGACGTCTCATGAGATCGTTTTCGACTGCAGTTGTTACAGCTGTAATGACCTCTTTGATTGACATCCTGCGCTGGTTGATGGATGTTGCGCTGGCTACCGTCCGTCGTGTGGCTGTGGGTTTTTGGCCTCGTGGTTGGAGCGTGTTTTCGATGCATCCAAATTGTGCCCGGGCTACGTATTTACGCACTAGATGATAGTGCGGATACCGTTGTGCGCAAGGGAAGACGAACTATTCCCTTGGTCGTGTCTGTCAACTGTGCGCTGCAGCGAGCTCAGAGCCATTTAGGTGGGGACTCTTGAGAGGGGTAGGGTTCATCGCGAGCGTTGGGCTAAAGATAGCGCTTCACGAACGCGGACTGGTTGCCAAAACGGCATGTCGTTCTTTGGGCTTACGTATCTTGGTCCGCAAGGGCCATTCGAGGGGCTCCTGCCGCTGCACGCGTTTAATGCGACGGACGTGGCAGCGGCCTATGACGTGGCAGCCCAGCGTGGCCCGACGATCAGCACCTCGGCCTTTCCTGCGTTTGTGCACGCCTTGTACCATTGCCCCAAAGGCACGAATCCGCCAGCGACGATTGTTGACCAAGTCACCGCGTGGTTCCCCGACGGCACCCTCCCGAGAGCGCAGTTCCTCGCAGGTAGACTGTGGCATCAGTCGTTGCCAACTCACGCGTTACTTAGGAATGGAGGCGCTCCTGGAGGCATCCGAAGACGCGGCAAATAACAACAGCGAGACGGACGCGCATGCGTGCGAATACCAGAGCGGGCTTGCGCTACGCGCCGACAAGTTCAAGCACACGCGCATGAAGAAAGCGCCAAAAGAGAAGCACCACGAACCGCTGACGGACGCGCAGACTTTCGGGTGCGATGGCTGCCAAATGCACTCAGCTCTAATTCCATGCACGTAGCTGGCTCAAAGGCACCGTGGTCAAGACGATTCCGAAAAAAAGCTGCGAAGAAACCAAGTACGCCTCGGCGATGATTCAATCTGGCGTGAGCTACTACTAAAACGAACAAAAACCCTGACGCTGACAATAATACGCGTGCAAAGACCAAAGCGCGGTTGCAGGAACGCGCCGATACCCGTGTGGCGGTCGAGAAAGAAGCGGATCGTGATGGTCGCGACCTTATCGCATTGTGACGGATCGAGATTGTGTGTGCCACGTCAGCCAGCGCGCCTGTCGCTGCGATCGGATCCGCAACGAGCTTGTGTGTTCGTGGTTCTGGATACTGGGTTTTCGAACCCTGCCTCCGTGACTTACACTTGACATCCGCGCTGCACCACCAACTCGGCGCAGTATACTTACGGCGGGCAAGATCTTGGCCGACACGCGTGCCGCGAGGAGCAAGTGGCCACCACTGCGCCGACCCCGTGCTGTACCGTAGCGAGCCAAGCGTGCAAGATATAATAAGTGCGTCGTGAGTAGCAGGGTTTGTACCGTTTGAAACTTATCGCAAGTGTCTTGTTAAACTTGCCATTTCTCACATAGATCTCATTTTTTTGCCTGAACATGTAGAGCGTGGACGCCACAACGCGTGGAAATCTCTATCAGTGCCTGTCAGCCATTGATGCCCACCATAGTGCAATATATATCGCCATCTCTTTCCCTGTGTAGCTGCCTCGGAACTCTACAGGCGTGTAGCTTTACGAAGGTCAGTTTGACATCCAGATGGGGTGGCTCGGAACGCACGCTCGAGTATAATAGTCACAAGTATTCGACAGGAGTCGCCATCAGTCGCCTGAATCGCTCGTCATGACGTGCCAAAATCACTGCTAGCTTTCAGCGCTGAAAATCGCATGTTTGTTCCGCTCAATGGTGTTCACGTTGACATGCAATTGGCACCTTGAACTCGGCGCACTATTGCATCTGCTAGAAGCGGCTGGAATCTAGCCGCTTCTAGCACCTCGCTGCTGCATCTAGCCTAGATACAACAGCGAGCGAGGGAGGCGACTTTACGGACTCTACGGTCACGCCACGCCATGCGATCTTGTCCCGCGACGGAGACAGTACTGAAAAAGTGCACCCTATTAATAGCGGCAGCCAATCGCAGGCGCCTGTCGCCACCATCAGGCGCTGTGTTTCCCCACGCGCCGACGCCATTTTATCGCGCCCAGCATGTACCTCCAGCACGAGATGTACTCGTTCACGTCGCGGTCCGTGGCCGAGCCCGAGACACCGGTCCCGCTCCTCGCACGGGGCAGCATGCCGGCCATGCGCGCGCGCTTCCAGCTCGATGGTATAACATGGCCTTTCCCAGTTTGCACTTTGCCTTATCATCAATCTAGTTGTGCTCGAGCACGTACACATCTCGCACCACGTGCAGCTCAC